ATTTCAGTTATGTGTTTTGATCTTTGTCTTGATACTGGTGTTGAAAACATTGTTATGTATTTTTAAAAAGTCTGTGGGTGAGTTTCGTTTTTAGAGTTGTTACTCCAGAGTATCTTTTCTTCCTAGCTCACCAAGGTCTACTTGTGTAAGAAGATATTGGGTTTGTTTGTTTAAAAATGTTGTATGAGGCCTTGAGTAATTAAAAGCATGTCTTTAAATACCGTGTTTTTAACTGCATCGTGCTGGAATTGCCTCTGCTGATCATGAATTGAATAATCCTCATTTGTCAGGTACAGTGTTGACTCAAACACAGATGAGTTCAGTTCAGATGACAGTGGTTATTACAAAACCCAGCTGTTGGCTCTCTAAGTCGCTTCCTCTGTGGCAGGAGTGGCTGACCCGTGAAGCAATTCTTTAACAGCACAGTTTGTAGCCTGATTTATTCAAGTAAACAAGTGGTGACTTGAAGTTGTTGTGATGCACTGAGCTGGGAACCCTAACAGCTCAGGAACTGCTTCCTGTGTAAATCATCAGTGCTAGTGCGGCTTTAGAAAAGAGTGAATGCCTAGTAGGGTGTTTAAGCTGCCTGTATTGGTGGGTAAATATTCTCTATTTCTGATTCACAGCTAACCTGAGAAAGTATCTTTGCAGCAGTCTGCCAGCAGTTGCAGACAACTGCTGGCAAGAGACCTTTTCTATGACTCCAAATGATTAATTTCAAACCAAGGCAATTTTCTCCAAGAGCTTTAGTTCTTAATTACATCTGGAGGAAAAAAAAACAACACAAAACATTAAAACAGATCTGCCTCTTTAAGGCTTTCATTTCACTGGAATTGAAAGGAGATCAATTCTTAATCATTCACCATTTAAAAAAAAAAAAAAAAAGAAGTACATGGTGAACACAGGAATAGGAGTCAAGAAATCTGTAGGCCAGGGCTGATTCTGTTGAACAAATCACTCTGGTGTTAAGTGGGGAGCTGTTCTAACAAAGCTACTGTGTAGGCTGCTCGGGAGACGAGAAAGAAAATTGGATTTGGTTTTTGTTGGTAGTGTTGGGAAAGCTGCCAATTTTCCTTGGTTCCCCTTTTTTCCCTTTTAAGATGATACCTTGCTGAGCTCACAAGCTAACTCTGAGGACTCTGGTCTTGGATAATTGCCACTACAGTCGGAAAGCTAACACTGATAGCAGTAAATGAGAGAGGCATCCCTGATTTAATAGGTTAGTGACTAGAATTATCTGAAATTGAGGCTTTTTGTTTATTAGTAGTTAGATAACTACTGTGTAAACTTTAGATTTTTTTTTTGTCTTTGGAACAGAATTGTTTCCCTAAGAAGTGGTCCAAATAGCAGAATTTTATTCTATTTTTGGTAAAAATAGAATACAGATACCTTACATCTAATAAACTTCTGGACTGAATGCTTCTCTTGCCTTTTTTTTTTTTTTTTTTCTTCCTGTAGCCGGATTGAATTCCTTGCACTACAGCAACCATAAAGTCATTACACTGCATTTAAAGCAAATGGGGAAAGGGATGACCTTTTGCCAGGGCTCTGTATTGTTTGTATTGCTAAGCCTTACCAATGTCTTTCAGTAAAAGCCAATTTAATCCTTAAACATCTGTACATACAGTATGTGTTAGGAATTGTCTATTGTTAGCTCTCTGTGTTCTCATTGATAGTAACGCTGTGCATCACCACAATGCCTGCTATTTGCTCCTCGGATCTTCATTGTACAGAGTAGCTGTTATCTTCCTTGCTGATAGGGTATCACCAATGGTACCAGTTAAGAGCTGAAAACACTTCCAGCATAATGGAAAAGTTCCACTTTCACTAGGATGACTCACTTATTAATTAACCCCTGGGACGTTCTGCCTGGGATGGAGAGGTTTCCTGTGCTGGTTTAAGAAAAAGTTAAGGGAAGGTACTATTACATAGCAAAAGAGACATTGATTGGAAGAATTTTATCTGCCTTGTAAGAATTATGTTTTCAAATACTATCAATCTGCCTGAAACATGCTTGGAAACTAACTCCAAAATAGGTAATTTGGAAAGGCTTGCTTCTCAGACTTAACATCTTCCTTTGCTGTAGGAGCAAACACACAACAGCTGTTAACACTGGATTTGTAATACAGCATGTGGAGGCAAGCAGTTACAGGAGTTAGTAACAATCTTTACCTCCCAGCAGGCCACAAGCTTTTGGCTTGAAGTAGGTCACTTCAAATGTAGCTACCAAGTGGCTACTGGGGACAGAACAAAGAAACTGGTGTTGGTTTTGGGTGGTGTTGGAGGTTGGGTGGGCTGTTGGGTTGGTGAAGATGCAAGTTGAGACTGCGCTGCAGAATGCTCTTCAGGTGCCTGTCATGGCTGAAAGTGAGTGGCTGAAGATGGTTTCATGGTCCCAGCCTGGCGTGGGTGGAGTGTCTGTAACTCTTGACTTGAGCAGGTTTGTCCTGTGGACTTCTCTTGTGATGCCTGCGTAGGGCTGAGGGTGTAATCTCCTTTTTATCAAGGAATCTTTGCCAGATTTGTGAGGTTAAACATGATGTGTCTGTAGCAGACTTGAGCCAAGCAGAGCAGTTCCGTGCCTGAAGATAGATGTGATGAGTGTAAATTTCTCCAATGTAACAAGGCTTGTGACCTAGAAGAAGGCTCCAGAATTTGAGGTTTAACTCCCAGTATTTTCTGAGATAAAGAGCTTTTGCTGCAGAAACCCTTTTCCCTTCAGGACAGGGAAGCTGTGAAAGATTTGGGGAGGTGTTTCATTTAAGCTAGAAGTGTTGTTTGGACTTCTGGCTAGTGATCTGTTAACATTTTGGCATTTCAGACTTGGCAACTGTTTACTGAAATGCCAAATAAAGATATTTTTAATCTCCAGTGATGCTGCTTCATTGATTTTTGTCTCAGATGTACACATGTGCAGGAGTGACTTCTGCTTTTTACTTCAATGAGTGGCTGTTTGTACAAAATACAAAAATGGGCTTGCTAGCTCAGTCTGCCACCTGTCTAGGAGGCAAAAAAATAAGGGTGCTGAGCTATGACAGACTTTGTAACTACACAGATTAAGTTTGGGACATGGTGTGGATGGGAATATTACTTTGTATAAAAGATAATCTTAGAGAACAAGACTGATTGTATCCAGGTCTCTTGTCAGGAAAGAGGGCCACTGAAAGTGAGTAGTTGGGGAACTGTAGCACCATTAAGGACAAGAGTTCTGTTTGTGGGTGGGAGGCAGGATGACACTGACCAGTAGCGCTTCTCTTTATTCCAACTTGTTATGTGTTGACCTTAACTGGCTATAGTGTGAATGTTTATTGAGTCATATGTTAACTCTTCTCATTCATTGTGGTCTGTTGTTGAGCTAAATCTATTTTTTCCTTTTTATTTTCTTTTTTTCCTTCTTTACCTACTTTTTTTTATAGAACGCATAAAAGCACAGTAGCATAGGGACAATGCAGGTAACTTTGTGCTAAAGACTTCAAGCAAAAAGAGAGGGATGGGGAAAACTAATTTTGCAAACAAGCATGCAAAGTAAAATACAGGTTCGAACCATGTGTCTGCTTGGGAACGTTTATGGTCTAAATTTGACAAATACTATAGCAAGCAACCAGAGGACTGCCATATGGAGGAATAGCAGCTCTGCGTTATTATCATGCAGTTAACAGCTTAGTTTATAAATTTCTACTGAGCAGTGTCTTCAGTTCAGCAGCAGAAAAAGTGTGCTTTGTGGGGAGGCTGAAGTGAGAACAGGATGGTGAATCCTTTCTGAGTAGACATTGCATGTGCAAAAGGAACAGGTTTGGAAGAGCTGCCTGTAGTGGACTTAAATGCAGGTGTAAACAAGACTAGTTCATTACTGAAAGGTGCAGGTATCTTGCAGAGCAAGTGATCAGTCTAAGGAAGATCAAAGTATTGCTAACTTCTTGTTTTGTTTTTTTTAAATTGGAAATTTATATAATTGTCATCTGCAGTTCTTCTCACAGTGTAGAGCAGATGTCAGCAATGCTCTAGCGTGTTGTTCTGCACTCTGTTTATCCGCCCCAAATAAAGTTTAGGTGTGAAAACAGAAATCATGCAGAATCCAAATTCCTTTCTCAAGTAAGATGCTGTTGTGATATTCATGGCATGTTGCCTCTACATCAGTAGCTAGAAGTGTCTCCTGCTGACTACAGAGATCGCTGGCAACCCGTAGCAGGGAGCTGCTCCCTCTCAGCAGGCAACCTCAGCCCTGATACACACTATTCAAAATCAGCACACTTACCGCCTTTGCCCTAAGTGGCTGGCGCCCATTCAAGTGTGGCCTGGAAAGCTCCATGGGAACAATTTAGCTGTCCGTACAGGAGAAGCTAATAGAAGGTATGTTCAGCTTTCAAATCTCAACAAGGATCCTTCCTGAACTGAGTGGTGGATTTTTAGACATCACCTCTGATAAGCAGAGAATTGGCTCTGGTAATGGCAGAAGATAGCAGGCATTAAACAGGCAAATATGAAGAATTAAAAGAGGAAAGTAACAATTACAAAGTTATTGGAGACTGTTTGCTCAAAATAAAGAACAGCTGACTGCTTTTCTTTTATATAAAAGCCTTCCCCAACACAGCAATCAAGCACGGGATGAACAATGAGTAGAATATCTTATGGTTTAATGATGGGGGGAAAAATGAAGTAACCAATCATCATCCCACAATCCTGCTCTTTAAAAGAAGTATTGTGTTTGATTCTCTGTTTCTGGGTCCATAGAGGAGAAATCCCTGAAATTCTGTTTCATTTCAAGGAGCTGGACAAAATGATGTTGCTATGAAATGTCAGTATTTGGAGCAAATCATCAGTATTGATACTCTGAGTATTTCATGTGGTGATACAAAGGTAACATCATATTACAGAAGTTGCTGGTGTCTCTTCTTCACCTCTGCTATGTTATTGTGTGTAAAATCACAAGCTTTCTCTTGTGCAGTTAAAACATGAACAGCTCTTTGCCTATTCAAAAGTTATGTGTTCACAGGTTTTGAATGGAGTCTGAGGGTGAGAAGTATGAAGAGGAGACACCTTCTCTGTACTGGGGGATGGATCCTGTATTTTCTGCATTTGCAAGGCTGTATATTAAAGATATAAAAGAAATGAGAGAATCTAAGCAAGTGCCAGGTATGTACTTATATGGGTTGATTACAATGCACACAGAAATATATGTTTACGTTGTGTTCTTTTATTGAGGGACTGCAGAATGCTTCATGAACAGCAGTAATTTTCCATGTCCCTAAGCTAAGTCACATTAGTATCTTTAATAGTTCTGAGAAAAACGGGTTGTGTGTGAAATATGTGAAAAGTGAAATGCATTTGTTCTAATGGCTTTTTTTCCTCTGATATATACAGATACAGAACCCCTTTTACGTGCTTGTTATGTTCTGATAAAATTTAATTCTAAAAATGCTGATCATTTGTGGCCATGTATGTCATATCTTTCCACTGCCTCTACAACATTTGAGAAGGATTTTATGCTTCCTCACTGCAAAATTTTGACAGTTGATGACATAGCTGGCTGTATATGTTTTGCATTTTCCTCTGGATGTTAGTGTATTACAAAACACAAAGGTTTTGATGTTTTGTCTCCTTAATGTCTATATATAATAGATATCTGATGTTCTTCGTAGAATCATAGAATGGCCTAGGCTGGACGGGTCCTTAGGTATCATCTAATCCAGCCCCCCTGCCATGGGCTGGGATGCCTCTCAACTACATCAGGTTACTCAAGGCCTCATCCAACCTGACCTTAAACACCTAAAGGGAGGGGACAGCCACAACTTCTCTGGACAATTTATTCCAGAGTGTTTGAGGTGGGGTCTCACAAGAGCAGAGTAAAGGGAGAGAATCACCTCTCTTGACCTGCTGACCACACTCCTCTTGATACATCCCAGGACACAGGTGGCCTTCTGGGCTGCCTGAGCGCGCTGCTGGCTCATGTTCAGCTTCTCATCTATCAACACTTCCAAGTCCTTCTCTTCAGGGCTACTCTCAACCCACTCTGTGCCCAGTTTGTATTTGTGCCTAGGACTGGCCCAACCCAGGTGCAGGACCTTGCACTTTGACTTGTTGAAGCTTATGCAGTTTGCACTGGCTCATTTCTCAAGTCTATCAAGGTGCCTCTGGATGGCATCTCTTCCCTCAGGTGAGTCCACCACACCACACAGTTTGGTGTCGTCAGCAAACTTGCTGAGGGTGCACTTGATGCTGTTTTCCATGTCTCTGACAAAGATGCTGAACAGCTCTGGGCTCAGAACACACGCCTGAGGAACTCTGCTTGTCACTGCTCTCTGTGTTCACATCGAGCCACTGACCACAACCATTTGAGTGCGAACTTCCAGCCAGTTCTTTATCCACCAAGTGGTCCATCCATCAAGTTCACGTCTCCCCATCTTAGAGACAAGGATATCAGTGTCAAACACTTTGCACAGGTCCAGATAAATTATATTAGTCTCTTTTCCCATGTCAACTGCTGCTGTAGCTTTGTCATAGAAGGCTACCAAATTAGGCAGGCACAATTTGCCCTTAGTGAAGCCATGTCGGCTGTCGCCAATCACCTCATTATTTTTCATGTGCCCCAGTACAGCTACCAGAAGGATCTGTTCCATGATTTTTATGTGTCATGGAGGTGAGGATAACCTCTATTTCCTATAAGTCTCTATTTCCCTGGGTTTTCTTTCATACATTAATATATTTGAACAACTTTATTGTAAATTCTGGCATCTATGCTGAATCTTATACCACACCTTTTATCTCCTAACTGTTGTTGGAGGTTTTATACTTTGCAGTCTGCTTCCTGCTGGTCTTCAGCCAATATCACTCACATGTGTACATTGTCTAAATCAATGTGGATCTGACCTTGAATTTCTATTTTTACTACAAAAACCTTAAGTAGACTGCAATGTTTTCTACTGTAGGAGGGTTCATTACTCCGAACTGAAGCTTGACAAGGTGCAAGAGTATCAGGAAGGAACCCAAGGAACTTAGAAGCAGAGTGTGGTTTTTGTTTGGTTTTGGTATTTTGTTTGTCTTTTTTTTTTCTCCCCACAGAAACAAGGTGTATCTGTTTGGCTCTTTGAATATGCTCTGCCTTGTAGGTTTTGTTATTTATTTCTATACAACAGCAGGGATAACAGCAGTGCTATTCTTGTAGAAATGGAGTTTGCTCTTCTTGTCACCATTTTTGGGTACCTAAGGGCTTCACAAATTGCAAAACCCTGTGTTGAGTGTGTGTGTATATATATATATATTTTATTTTTTTTTTGTTGTTATTTAACATGGTAGGAGACTTGTCTTAAATTCACTGCAAGAATGAGGCTACGGTCAGTTACTGTGGTTTGCACTAGAGTGAGTAGTACTTAGAGGCCTTTCCAAAGTATGCAGTCTTAAGTAGTACTGGTACAGCAAATGCATCTGGTAAAAGCTGTTCCTGCTTCCATTACAGGTATTTTAGTTGTATTCAGACAAAAGACAAAATTTAATGTCAGCAGAATAGGATTATAGCGTGTACTTGGACATTTGTACATACACATGCAAAAAGTATATTTGGAAGAACAAAACTTCTCAACATGAACAAACGCTTCACAAGAGCAGGAACAGTCCTAGAAAGTAAAATCCTGCTCTCTTTTCTCACCTCTAAATTGCCTGAATTTCTCTTCTCGCTTCCCTTCTTGATCTTTTACTTCAGTGAGTTGTCTTCTGCTCCAGGAACTCTTTCAGTGGTCTCTGTCATGTCAAGATATCAGCGTTTAAAAGTAGTGCCTGTGAGCTTTCTCCACTTCCTGTGCATCTGGTGTTTTGCAGAACTAAGCTTGCTTACAATCTTGTATCATTTTCTAAACTAAACTTTAAAGAGTAAAATGAAATTTTGTAGCATAAACATCCTGAATTTTGCTCATTCTCCTGGTGCTGTGTATATATTAAACCAGGCATCCTTCATCTGAGGCATTTTATTTATTGGCGCCAAATTGTAGCACGACAGAAACACTAAAAACATATATTGTGGAGAAGGAAGAAGGTAGGTGGTTGGTGTTGATATTTCTTGCCTTTAGTGGATTTGTTAAAGACCAGCTGAAGCTAAGCATATGATTGGCTATAAATCAGTCATTGAGTAATGCTAATTAAGAATGAATGAGTGCAAAACAAAGAGTCGTAACTAGGAGGAATGGAAAGAAACACAGACTGAATGTCAGGAAAAACATCCTTCGGATGGCATCTGCTAAACTGTGGGGTGGCCTTCCCAGGAAAAAGATGGGATGTCCTTCACTGGGATTGTTTATATCCTGACTGTACAGATTGCCAGGAATTTACTGTACAGAATAGTCTTGCATTGGCCCTGAGGAAATGGACTGAATGACCTAATAAGTTGTTTTATTTCCATTTTTAAGCATTAGGATTTGATGCCACAATGACTAATCCGTTAAAACAACACAGAAGAAAGCAGTAAACCTGGCCAATTATTCTCCTGCTATAAATGGTGACAGGAAGGCTGGAAAACCTCCCAGATAAAACCAGCAACTGTGTTGTCTTAGAGGCCTTGAAATGAGAGTGGGTGTCAAACTCAGTTGTCACACACAATCGCGTCATGGAAATGAGCTTCTCTCGGCGCTGTCATGCACCGCTGCATTGTGACAGCTTATGAACAAGCAAGGGAGTCTAGGAATAGCATAAAAGGAGGTAATAATAATTAAAGCAATGGCAAACAGCTCAGTGCTCGGTAATGCTGGTAAAGCCATGACCAGAACTTACCCTGGAAGCTCTGTATCTATAGTCCCCTGTAGTGCTGCTCTGGCTTCCTGTTGTGGTAACAGCATATTAATGTCTGTGTTATTTTCTGGGTTACTGGGAGCTTGCCTGAATGTGCCTGTGCATAATGTTTAGTGTAGTTTTATTGCCACCAGTATGAACATAATTTGAACAAATAAGCTGGCAGGAGAAACAATTTACACCTTGAAGTCATCACATTCACCAGCTTTTGATAATGTAAATATAATTTCATCTTTCAAATGAAGTCAGGTAGTTTTGTGGAGAGTAAGGGTGGAGTTCTGTGTGAGTTTATGGGGATGGAGAGAACCAGTTTTATCTGGTCTCTGTCATTTGCCAAAACTCAGCTTACTAACTGGGAAATGATAATAATAACATGTTGCCTGTTTGCACAGTCAAGCGTTTGGAGTCTCTGCTCCACAAACTTACCCTGACACTGACCCAAATCTTCTTTTATAGAGATTTTTGGAAGGTTTAGTGAATAATTATATACAGCAGGAGCATCTTCACTGAGGGTTTCTATCGCAGTGTTTATTGGTGTCCTGGTAAATGGAATGAGAGAAAAGTAGACTGACCTGCTAAACGTTCTCTACGCCACACCTGCGCAGTGACTGCACAATTACTGTAGCCAACTCTTAGGGTGACCTTGACAGGTGCACCCTCAAAACATTGCCGTGGATTTTTATGAGTAAAACTTCTGTTTATGAGCTGTTTGGCTGAGTACCTTTTGATTTTATTTTTTTTTCTGAAAATTTGAGTGTTTTGTCTTTTTATGTGAAGAAAGTTAATTCTGGGCTCATTTAAGGCTGCCAGCTATGTAGGACAAGTTATTTCTGTATTTTGGTTTTAGTTGTTTTTGTGTGGAGTTTTTGTTTTGGGTGGTTTGTTTTTTTTTTAAATACAGAACGTTTTTCTAGCTCGCTTGCTGCAGCATTTTCCCTTTGTAAGAATAAGACTTACACGGTGTATGGAGCCAAATGTTCCCTTCTGAGTCCCTTAAGTTATCCAGCTTTTAGAAGACAGCTATTGAACATCCCAGATGGCATATTTCAGTAAAGCAGAGGTACTCAAAAACCGAAGAAAACACATTGACTGAAAATTAGCTGGCCCAGGATATGTCTGGAGCTTATTTTCCTATTATCCTCCTGCTAGTGGACTGTGAAGCTTCAGTGTGTAATATTTACATCTGTGTTTAACCACCTTTGCGTCAGTCTCTTGAAAGAGATTACAGCATGTGGTAACCTCGGTGCTGTCAAAGTCCATTGGGCTCTGATTTCTAACTGGTTCCTGGATGTGTTTTTACATGTTACTCTAGTCATCCTTGTAGATGCACAAAAATAGGTTTGAAGGGATGTTTTTAGAACATGTTATTTCAGAAACTAAAGTTCATGATGCTGTCCATGATGACCGCAGAGCGTATTCTGCAGTCTCAGAGGGTTGTTTCTCTCACCCTGCCCCCCATGGCTCCTGTTCTTTTAGAAACGAAAGACAGAATTATGTTAGCTTTCCTTTTGGAGGCTCTGCCTTAATCAGAAACAGCTGCATTGTGAGAAGCTCAAACCGCTTCCATTGTGTTTTGTTATTTATTCTGAAGCCTGATGAAGATGTTAAAAAAAAAATCATCAGAACCAAACAAAAAATACTTGCAAACAACAAAACCAACCAAAACAAACCAAAAACCCAAACCAAGCCCTGCCACCAAAAAAGCCCCAGAAATCCCCCCCCAAAACAAAACCAAACCAAAATGAAGCAACAAAATAAAAAGCATCTAATAAACCCACTAATGCCTGCTGAAAACAGACTGATTTTCATATCCACATGTGCAAGAAAACAAGAGGTTAATACAGTTCTGACAGTCTACAAAAGCAAGCTTTCGGTATCTTAAGTAAAGCTGTGGTATTTCTTCTTAGTTTTCCCAGTCATCATTGATCCAGGGGAATTTTCGTGACTAGGCATTGCATAATTTAAGGTTTATTAAATATGTAAGAAAATGTTTTTTCCTGCCAAATGTGGCCATGTGGAGTAGGATATTGAAAAAAAAATAGTTACACTTACCAAGAATTTTCTGTGTCTAGGTATATTCTTTTATAACGGACATCCAGTGAGACAGGTGGATGTTGTCGGGATAGTGATTCTAAAGAAAGAGCGAGATGCCTTTTATAGTTACGGAGGTAAGAAAAGATTCTTTCTTCTTGTACTTATCAGCATTCTAATCTTAGTTGGAACTTAAAGGTTGTCTTATTTGATCATTGACTGTTCTTGAAACAACTGTGCTCTTATCCTAATAGAATGTATATCTGCTGCTCAGATTACTTGGCAAATTTAGGGAAGCTACTGTCTATCTACACATCAAAAGTAGAGAAACAAATATGTAGAACAGCGTGACTGATTTGTTTGGGGGCATCTAGCAAATCTTAATTTTGGTAATGCTTTGCCAATGGACTCCACCATCTTTCTCTCGTATAGATATGCATTTCCTTGGGTCAGATATCAACGGATTTAACAATGCCTGCAAATTGGAAGTCACTTTTTCCTTTTTTGAACCTCAAAATCTGTTGTGTCTTTTTGTATGTTTTGTATTACCTTGGAGCCAGCTTTTAATAGAAGGTTGTTTCTACTTAGATTTGCTAAGACTCTTATGCATCTATTTCGGGCATCATAGTACCAGTCCTTGCCCAGACCAGCTGGGGCTTCTCCCTCTTGCTTTTGTCAGTATTCAGACTATTTTGTTAACGTGGAAACATCTGACTGGCTGTTCAGCTGTCTTTTTCAGTTAGAGAAAAAAAAGAGTGGAGTAGGCTTGGTGTGGCAAGTTACTTGAAAGTGGGGCAAGTCATCTCATAGTAGGAAAGAGGAGCCCAGAGCATAGATCCTATCAAAGCACTTGAAGAATTCATGTGCAATGTAGTCATCTGTTAGGTAGAAACCTAGGGAAGAGGTAGGTCATGGAGCACCTCCTCTTACCCAATTCTCTCGCTTTATAAAATGGAGCGAGCAGCAATTTCCTGACTCACAGAAGTATTGTGAGGATACAGTTGACAACTTAACCAGGTTCCAGCTCCTGCAACACCTGCAGTTGCATCATACTGCTGTGGCGTAGCATTAACTGCAAGTGCATAGAGCACCGGGTGCAGCTGCGTAGAGTTGAGCCTGTGCTCTGTGGAAATGTCCCTGCTTGTTTCTTGGAGTGGTTATTCTCTAGATTATTTTTTTTCCTAGGTCAAATTTCTGAATGTTTGTTATTACCCTGCTATTATGCTAAATCATGAGTTGACAGTAAATATTTTGAAGCACAAATTTCTCTGTCTCTTGAAGTAGCACAGGCTAAACAAGCCCTAAGTTAAGAGGCAGAGGTGTAATTGATGATGTAATGAAGTGTTGAAACATAAATTGAATGTCAGCTGTTATTATTTTATTGCACTAGTATGCAAATACAGTTATCACTTCACAAGAACAGAGGAAAACTGAATGAAAATGACCAAGGCCAAACCAGTTCTACAGGCAAGGTTTTCACATGCTGCTCTCAGCATATATTTGGATGTAAACTTGTTGGAAATGTTTAATTGGGGCAGAAAATGGAGGAATAGAAATAAAAGGAAACTGCAGAGTAGTGGAATTAAGGCTTTAGCGTTAGATCAGCCGACCTTTCAGTACAGCTCTCGTCGAGCCTGGCTTCCTGCCGTCCTTTCACATCCAACTCTACTCTTTGTTCCAGCAGTTCCTAGTTTGAGCTTTCAGGCTACCTGCCAGGGTGTCCCTCCCAGCCTGCCCTCCCTTTCAGGCCAGCTGACTCCACCAGCGTAAAATTTTAACTTCTTAGACAGTTTCCTGCTTGTAACTTCTTGCATCTCTCACTTCAACAGACTTTGACTGGTGACTCACAGAGCAGGCATTGCATCAGTTCAAGTGCCTCGTGCTGCTCAGTACTTGCTCACTTTCCATCTGCTTAAAAGTGACTTGCAAAGCAATTATTTCCCCTTTGTACTTTTTCTCTGATAGAGAACTGAAAGGTCTTTGTGTTGCTGCCACTATTGCCCCCCCTCATTTCCTATCTGTCTGCTTCAGAACACACACCACTCGTTTTCAGAGAATCTTAGATCCTGTCTGCTGAAAACCATAAAACCAGAACTGGTGGCAAAATACTGATTGTGAAAGAGAGTGAATTGCATCTTTCCGGGCCTGAAAGAAAATAAAATTACATGCTGTGTAAAACTGATTTTGAATTTTTTTTTTTGATTGTTTATTGCTATTTTTATAATCAATTAAGGGAAGGATATCTAATTGAAGTGTAGCTTTGAACAAGCTCACATTTTAATAAATGCACCTTTCTGACCTCTTTTTCTTCCCTTTTCTTTTAACAAAACCAAACATCACATGTGGTTTTCCTTGTACTCCAGAACTGTTTTGAAAGGCTGAAAGGCACTTCCCTTAAAAACAAACAAAAGGAATCTCACCAGGATCTCAGTAGGTTCACACAAACCCAACAAGAACCATTCCCTTTTTATTATAGAGAAATAAAAATGAACAAAATTAGCTGTTTACAAGGTATCTCTTAAGAGTGCTACCCCTCAAATAGTTAACGTAAGAGTCAAAAAAACAAAACAGAAAACCCCAAAAAACAAACCCACAAAATACTAAACAAACAAAAGTTTAAACCCAAGGAGCTGAGGAAGGGTGGCACAAGGAGCACAGGAAGTTTTCAAGAGCTTATACAACACATCAGTGCATTTAAAATAGATTAACATTCTCCTGTCTAATTAGAATACAATTGCAAGAGTTCTCATTCATCTGTGCTTTGGGAGTTTTTTGTCTTTTTGCTCAAAGCTGTTATTTGTGAACTGGTAAAACTTTGTTTCAGAGCCTTGCCCTGCTACCAGCTTCCCTGTGTGGTCACGAACAGGTCAATTTCTCCAAGACTCCTTTTCCAGCTGTTACACTGATGATGCAGATTCTGGCCTCCTCATACTTCGGTCTTGTTTGTTTCTTTCAAAGCCCGTTTTAGGAAGCCTACCTGTTGCACTTGGTCACAAGATCTAGAAGCTGCAGTAATATATTAGTGAAATGTCATCTGCCTTGTTCCTTATTGCCATTGCTGGCTTGCACAAATGCTTTGGCATGGTACCTGGGGGCTCAAACTCCCACTGAAATAGTTGGGTTTTCCATACCAAGGAGAGGAAATCCCAGCAGCCAGATCATTATCCTATTCTGGTACAAAACTAAAGCTGCTGAAGTAGCTGCAGACACAGCAACTCAAAAGGGGGATTGCAGTGAGATGAGGATACTTCGGTGATAGGATGTGGAGTTGCCTGCATCTTATAAATGCTGTATGTGCAGCTAAACTACCAGGAAACAGGAAGGCAAGATAATGATTTGAAATTGGATGCCCCCAAATAGGGAGATTGTTTCAAAACACATGAGACAATGCAAAGGCATTTTGCTTTGATGCTGTGGTTCCCAGAGGAAACAACTGCAGGTACCAATCAGTACCTTCCTGGTAAACATTGCAGTTACTTTTGTGGTCAGGAATCTGGTTTAAGGAGCAGAAGGAAATTGCAGATTCCAATTTGTGAAGAGTGGAAGCTCAGTCTTGGAGATGGTTACATCCAAGGAGCAAGGTGCTTGGAGCATTCACTGGACACCGAGTGTGATCCTTGCTGCAGTTTACCAGGCATTTAGTGCCTTTCTATTTAGAGAGTGTTTGTTGGATGTGCCATATATATACAGTCTCTTGATCCATAGAACAATTGATTCATTTGATAGCGTTTTACTTTTCTTTGGGTTTTACCTTTTTCTACTGTCCTTGACAACACAGTTCCTGGGGCAGAAGTTATGAAGCTTATTTTGATCGGGTACTAACAAAACAGGAAGAGTTAAGCTTTTTTTTTTTTTTTTTTGACAACGGAAGTGATTTGCATACAACCAGTAGGTGTACTTTGAGATGGGAATTCCTGGCCTAGAGTGGAACCACAAGTATGTGCTATCCTCTGTCCTTCCTGGCTAGAGGAACTGCCTTTCTGCTCTCTGGAACACCTTCTTGTACAGGAGGCATTGTGCACAATATTAGCCTGGAAACCAGTGCAGCAGGCGGTAGCAGCACTCCTAGTCTATTCACATGGCGTAGTTTATTCACCCACCAATACTAAAGTGCTGTTTCCTCACTGTTAGAGTAATGCTTCTGTGTTTTGTGCCTGGTTTCTTGCTTTAATTAGACTGGCTTCAGCTTGCAATACTGATTCTTCATTGACCTTGTCAATGAGATTAAAACCCGTTAGGATCCAATATATGTACTGAAACCTCATAACTTAAATTAGTGGTGGATTTATTTTTTTTTTTGAGAATATACCTGTTACTTTGCTGACCATGCACATAAGCATGGTGTCTGGTACTGAGCTACTTCCATGACTCAAATGACTATGGAGATTAGTTCAGAGGTATAAATAGTGGTTGAGCACCCACTTTCCCTTTCAGACCGGTTGGAATGAGAGATACTTGACAGCCATCTCCCTATGTATCTATATCTTCATTTCCTGCACCATGACTACCTGCTTTCTCACTCAGTAATTATTTCAATTTTTTTTTACAGTGGATGATAGTACTGGTGTTATAAATTGCATCTGCTGGAAAAATCCCATGATAGCAGAAACATCTTTATCAGGTAATTTATCAAATAATTTAGTAAATGAACGAACTTGTCAAAGAGCAAATTCAACTTTTTTTAATTTTAAACCACCACATCCTACAATCTGGGCCATTTTGGGAGTTTCATACTATTTTTTATGTTGTGTCCGATGGTGATGCCAGTAAAACCACTACATTGTGACATGTAATGCCTTTTCCTTATCTGAGTAATATGGTATTTCAGTTCTATGTTGTGACATCGTTCAGAGAATCTTCTTCTTATGTTTCTTTTTGTGACTTCCTCTAGTGAGGATCTAGGCTGGAAATGTGCCATGTGCCACAACTTCTGTCTCCAAAGTCAATCCACTGACCAGCAATCTAGGATATGTTCCCTGCCTTTTTGATGCAATGGTTTCAGGAGTCATATTCTCTTTTTTGTTTGCATTCACGTTCTCCTCCTGCTCATGCATATACTGTCAGTGATGAACTCTGAAGTAGCTTAAAACCCAGTGGGAGAGTGCCAGCAATCCTTTATGATTTGGAAAAGTTCTAAATGTGCAGAAATTGTGCATTCAAAGTGAATCTGTTATTGCAGTCAATAACAAAAGAACTCAGTAGTGTCTAGTGTTCTCCTTGCCTTTTTTCCCCACCATTTCTCATAGATCAAAGTATGGAACACTTTCTGCTTTGGACCTTCTGAAAAGCTCATGTAGTAGATTGACAGCCCTGACAAGGACCTGATCAAATCCTACTGAAATAAATGTTATTGGTGTTATCTGCCAGTGTTAGGGTTACAGACACATAGAATGGGGGAAGGAAAGCTTGATTTAAAAGTTAAAAATTCTAATGTCTGTGGAACAAGCCCATTTATACAGACAGATAATTAATGCTTACTTACATTTAACAATGATATGACAAGTGGTATAAATGATCCCAACCAAAATCTAGAAGGCAGCCCTCACTGTTAGGGAGGTGATACTGTGGCACAGCTTTCCAAAAAAAAAAAAAAAGGGGGGGGGCCCCACAATCAAATCAGTTTTTTTATGAAGAACTTAAATTCATTAAAGGAATTGCATGAAATACTGCTTGAAATGGAATGAGGACCAAGAATGGTTGTTTCAGCCTTGTGTTCTTATTTTACATGTACTTGAGTAGAGCTTGAATGGACATTATTTTATTAATGGAAATTAATTCGTACCTGTTAACAGAAAGCAAATCCTAGGGGGCACAGGAAGTTTTCTTCCAGCCTTTTATAACTGTGATCAGGAATATCTGGATCATTAACCAGGTTCTAAGTTATGAAGACTTTACTTTCCTGCAGAGGTGTGTTATGTAAATGTGAAGTTCTGTCTAGTTACATTCACCTTAATGTAGGCATCAAATTGCATCACATGAATACTTTGGCCCCACCTCAGATGATTCATTCTTCTTCTATGTAAAAAGTTTAGCTGACCTTTCTTTTCACTTCACCCATTTTAGGATCACAAAAATCAAAAAATGACAAAACCATTTCAAATTAATGTTTCAATTTTGCGACACATCTGACATTTTCAGTGGTAAATCGTCAGTATCTCATCCCTTTTACACTCGCCCCAAGTGAACTATTTAAATAAATATCATACTGTAAACTAACTTTGTTCCCCAAAAATTTTGTTACTGAGGACATGTTATGCCTGGGACCTTCACACTTTTTTATTAATATGACTCCTGTGGTGCTTAGGTGTTTGGATGCATGCAAACAGATGGTCCTTTTGGCCTTAATGCCTCATCTCCTTTCCTTCACTTCTTACAGGTCTTCCAAGCACACACAGCAGTCTTGCTGTGCTTGAACAGATGAAGAAACTCCAAGAAGTGGTGAGCCAGAAAACCAAGCTGGAGATCGGGGATGTTGTCAGAGTCAGAGGTCACATCCGAACCTACAGGCAAGAAAGAGAAATTCAGGCTTCATGTTTTTGTGAGTGTTATGGGTCCATGACATATATAACTTAGTTGTCTGAATTTGTGAGTTCTAAGCTGTATGTAATTCATTGAATAATTTTCACTCTTATTTTCTGGCATCTCATTTTTTTCTAAAAAGATTTTCATCTGTAGGCCTTTATTTCAATTTTCACAGTGTACGGTTAGAAGACGTATTACTTAATGTGTGGGATTAGATTGACTATAAATGAGGCATTCTGGAGGAATCTATAAAAGATGACTACCGTGCATACAAGGATTCTGTGCAAATACTCTGACTGGGTATCTGTGAGAGCAACTTGCTCTTCAGTTTTCTTATGTTGAGGTAGAACAGCCAAAGCCTGTGGGAAGGGGGTTGTTGACCTTTTATGTCACACTTCATCAAGAGCACTAGCTGCTTTGGAGAGACGGTTGCTATTTGTCACAGTCTGGGTAATCCATTCCATGTCTGTACAGCAGCCTGTGGACACATTGCACTCCTGAAGCCCAGGTCCTCCTAAACTCTGGCTCTGCAGAGTGACTGAGAAGCATTCCTCATCTGGAGTCACGTGGGCATAGATCTGCAGGTGCTGCCCCTGTGGCTGCTGGCCCTTTGGGCAGTGGGGTTCTGCAGTCCGCTGTTTACAACTTAGGAGCTTCCAGTGACACACCTTCTTCTCTATTCTGTGTCTGTGCCATTGTGTAAGAGTTGGTTTTCACCAATGAAATCCTTCAGAGACAATGCTGAAATGATTCCTTTGGTGGGTGAAAACCATCTTTTAAAATCCCAGATAAAAGACTAGACTTTTTAGCTTAGGCTGAAGTCTGAGATGGAATTCAACCCTTCTCTCCAGACAGAAGATTTATGAATGTATAAGCTATTCAAGCACTGGTAATAATAGCATTGTTTCATTAAAGGAGAGCCTTGCAATTCAAATAGCATCTAAACTGCTTTCACTTTGGCCCAAATAAAGCTCCTTACTATGTGTTAACCTCATCTAATGGATAAAGACTGCTGAAAGGTAAAATAGAGCTCATAAATTCCAGTTAAATACATTGTCAGACAAAAGCATGATCTGCAATGCACCACAACAGGTCATTTACCTCCTTGTAAACTGTGAAAGGAGTGGCCGGTGTGGATTTATTTTTATAAAAAGAACAGTGAACAAAATTTGCCAATTTAATACTGGCACGTGAAGCTTTGTTGTGCTGTCTCAGGTATGCTTCTTTAACGATTGGTATGGCAGTTCTGGCCAAATATGTGTATTCTTTTTTCTGCTCCAGATAAAGTAGATGATCCTGTGTGTGATGTTCAGATTTCAAGAATGCTGGAGCTCCCCTGTCTCTATAGAGAAGTTTATGATAAACCTTTCCAAAGCCCTCAGGAGGGACAGAGGTAAATACAGGATCCAGACTGGTCTTGGGGCAAACAGTGGGATTGTATTGTTGTTGTAATAAATGTGGAAAAAGATAGAATAGAGCCTGACTGGGATTTAGACTCTACACAAGCATACAGTAGCAGGTTCCGTTTCTCTCAAATAATTGATGATCCGTGCAGATGAGATACCTGTCCATAATCTGAGAAAAGAAAGATAATGTTGAACTGAAGTGAGTATTAGGAAGGTAGAAAAAAACTGGAAAAAGATTTGGGGATGTGAGATCAAGAGATGAGATGGAGGAAAATACTCTCAACTTCTGCTCCCCTTGCTACTGTCAAATCACAAATACAAAACCTCAGTAAACTGAGTATTCAGTGTAAGGGTAGCTGGATGGTAGTTGGAGATGTGATGAATGTAGCGTGGCTTCAGGGACTGCAGAATTTAAAATCACAACACTGTTTAGACCAAATGGTTCAAGAGGAATAGCTCGATGCTTATTGCATGTAAAAATGGTCTTTGAATTAAGCATTTAAATTCAGATTCTTAAAGGACATTAAAATACCTTTTGACCTTTGAAAAGCAGTCTAACAGGCTAACCTTACTTAATTGTTCTAAAAAACATCAGTAGTATGTTTCTTGCCTTTTGACATGTTCCTTTATATCTTTGTAGTGGCCTGGAGGGTCAGAATTTCTCAGTCAATGTGCTGCGTGAGAAAGTGAAAGGCTTTCTATTAGAAAACAAAATTCAGACCTTTTACCAACAGGAGTTGGAAACGATTGATACTCTGGTGTCACTGGCTGGTGTGCATCTACCCGGTCCCAGCTGTCAGGAGGTGAGCAAATGTAACTGTTTCAAGCTTTTAGTGGGGAGAAATAATACCATATACTTTTCTTAAGCATAAACAAGCGGATAAGAGAGTGGTGCCTTCAGAGAATTCAAAAACCACAAGCGCTTTAGCGTTAAGCATGAATTATTTACGGAGCTTGAGGAAACCTTGTCACCTGAGACATAAAAAACTGGACTGAAGAAAGCCAGATGAGAAAATTCTGTTGTCAAGGGTAATTTTCTATTAGGGCCAAGTAATCTTACAGTCTAGAGCTGGCACTAACTTAGCTAGATCTTTAAATGGTGACAGTATCAAAAAAGGAGATCCTTTTAAGGTGCTTGAGATGTTTGGGACAGATATTTAAGATCCTGAATTTGATCAAGAGAAGGGAGCACTAAGTCTTTGTCTTGTTTTCTCATTTGAAGCTCCATATATTAATAAAAATGTAGCTGTCAAAAGGAGACATTATGAGTGGGTGAGCAGTGCTCTCTGCTATGTGCTTGTCTTGTTGGAAATCCCTGGCTCTGAAAGGCCGTCAGTGAAGGGATCAGAAGGCAGGATTTAATTGAAGTCAGTTTACATATAGTTGTGTGTAACCAAACTGTTAAGAAACTTTCCAATGAGACAGTAGGCTCTTGGTCTACTGCAGAATGGGAAATAGAACAAAAAGCATTTTGTAATCTCTGCTGTTTTGATAAATTACAAACCAGATTCTCAACTGCTGTGAAGTGGTAAATTTCTGTAAAAGTAGTGGTGTTACGGCTTTTACCATGTTACTAAGGGCAACTGAAACCTAGAGTGCTGTGACTCACTTGTTTACTTTCTGGTTTTCTGTAGAAAAATAAATCCATGGCAGTCGTTTTGACTGCCTGATTCTGATACACACTGTAAAGTGCTATCTTATGTTAACATCTGTTTGCTTAATTCTAAAAAAAAAAATTAATAAAATTTTTCTTTTTTACTTTAAAAGAAAGCATGGATAAATACAATAACAGGACCTACTCTCTTTTTTGACAGGAAAGTTTGATACTAGAATATCCAGGATGGGGCAGGATATTTTTTGCTAAACTACCTGGAACAGGTAGTTCCCAAACACTTTACATTAAAGGAAGTAGTGATCATTGTGACCAATACTGGAAACTTCCATCTTTGAAGTTTCAGCATTTAAGGAGAGATCAAAATTTAATAGCTTGCAAAGCTGGTGCAGAACAAACATAAAAAGGCACAGAAAAAAACCCAACCAAAAGAGCCGAAACCAACAAAAACAGTGTAGCATCAGCATTGTTAGCAGTCACAAGGAGCTATCATAATAATTAATAGTTGCTCCTGACCCTGATGCAAGGATGTGAGTCTATGTCACAGGAATTTGGGCACAGAGATGCTTATTTAGAAATTGCAGTTCTCCCTGCTGCCCTTTTGGTATTAATTCCTTGCAAAGAAGCTTATATATCTTTGCATAAGAAAGAACCTACAGTTGTCAAGTGACCTGAATGCCTGACGAGGAGTGCCAAGTAATGCTGTGGAAATGATTTCATTGTTCCTCTGCTCTGTCTCTTGAAGGTGTCACTTCTCATAATTGGCAAAAGGTCAAGTATGCAGTTTGATCCACAAAAATAAGCATAATGGATCTGATTTATGTTCCTCTTCCTTTCTTTTCCCCTCTGTAGTCTTCTGTTTTGCATCATCTTCAAACAAAAAGGATAAAGGATGCGCTAATGTGCAGCTATGTTATTTCATGCCTATTTGACAAGGCAGGTACTAGATGAGTAGACGAAACTAATTAGGCCGCACCACGATATAGAAACTTATTCATTCTGTGCACTTTTTCTGGCTGTGAAAGGATCAGTTATTTGGATGTATAACTTTTTTACCCTGATTCCAGTGTTCTGTCGCACAGTTGCTGTTAAACTCTTTGCTTCCCTCTTACTTCCTTTCCCTGTGATCCAAGGAGAAGTGGTACACCCCCTTCATCTCTTTCCCAACTTTTAAAGTGCTTGCACAGTGTTCATCACAGTGGGAGGGTATCTCCCCCATGGGTTTTTTCTCCAGGGAGGTGGTGAGCTGCTCTGGAGTCATTGGCAGCAGAGTGGAGCAGGGATGGAGGGAGGTAGCTGGGATAGTTGGAGGGCAGCAGCATCTCTCTTCTTTTTCAGCATTACTGTGCCTGAGCCCTGTCCACAGTTGTCCTACAATGCCTCGTTCCAGTCCTGACAGGTCCCCAGCAGTGCAGTCATCTTGCTCTCCAGAATAAATTTCCCTCTAGCAGATGCATATGGCAGAACTCAAATCATATCCTGTGCTCAGACATATGCAAGGGAACATCTGATTACGTAGTCTACAGCGGATGGGCAAGGTGTTTTTAAAAATAATTAAAAATTAACAAATCAGTTATGATTTTTAAAATCAGTGAAGCTTTATTTCTTATAACCAGTGCCACCACAATCCCTAAGCTGTAGCCTTTCTCTTATCCCTTAAATGAATTTTGAGACTGGAGGGGTGGGTACCACAAGGAAGACTACAAGCGGAAAACCAGAAAAAGTAATGTTGTCCTTAGAGAACTAAAAGAGTGTACTTGCTGGACTTAGACAATTATATTTGGCAAATGGACAAGCCTTTGGTTCCTTTTTTTTAAGAAAACTACGTATGATCTTGATCCATACAGTTTCTCAACTGAGTAAAATGTGACTCGCAACCAGCCAGTCTTGATTAACATTTTTATGCACTTCTCCCATGCATAAGCTGCAGTGTGTGCTATTTTAGTATTACTGTTTCAGTCTGTTTGTCACTAGCTTGGACATGTAACTTGGGTTGTGCTTTCCAGGCTGTTTGTACTTCTCTTGATTTGAATTTTATCTCAAGGTCAGCAGTGACAAATAGTTAGAGTAGGGAGTTTCACAATGTTGTTCATACTTACTGTATATTCCCTGTAGGTTTTTCTGTAGGTATCATATGGTGCCTTATACATTCTTGATGCCATGTGCTTGTCTTCCTTTCTCTTGAGGAAGCTCCACTGCTGTTTTAAATATGTATATTGCAGAGCTTATTATAGGACTTCAGGACTGACATGGCCAGAATTACTATTACGAAAATTATCACCTATCTAAGCCAAGGATTAAACATTGCATGAGAAATTGCAAAGGGCAATTCCACGAGTAGAATCACGTGTGTGGTTATACCAGGAAACTTTAACGCCATGAGGGTGTGTTGTGATTCATAATGAGCCAAGGTTACATACTTTCAGTGTTTTCAACAGACCGACTAATTCCTGTACCACTTCATTCTTCAACCTATTATTGATTGTACAGAGAATTTGTCTTGTTTAAAGATCTGAGAATAACTAGTTGCACAGCACCAGTCCACTAAGCTGTGTGAGACCCATCAGATGGAATATATTGATTAAAATAGCAGCTTAATTCTGGAGACATGGATTCTTCTGTTGGCTTTGCTACAGAGCCCTTGACTGGTCTTGGGAGGGGGAGGGTAGTGACGGTAAAATTGTTACTAAATAACTGCTTCCCTTTTGGGGATGGGAGAGGATGGACACACACATATTGTGCAGAAGTGATTAATGATTTTTGGCCGCTTTTGTGTTTAAACGAATGTACAGCTTCATTTATTTGAAAAGAACCTGATTTGAGAGGGGAGGGGAACTCCTGCTGCTAACACTTCAGGAAACCTGAAATTGTGCACCCTGAAACTAGAACATGCTGAAGGGAGGCACTTGGCAAAACAAGGTGTGAACATGATGAGAGGTGAATTCAAAATCTAGATTCAAATCTTGCTGATGCTTTGGATCAGCTGTTAAATTGCTTAATATCTGCATTTCTCAGATGAAAATCTTTGTAAAAAGTAAAGTGTTGGCTAATAAGCTATGAGTCAGAAGGAACTACATTAACAGCTACGGTACATCTTTGTAATTGTTGAAATGAAACCATTTTTTAATCTTCTCCTAAAATAAGAGCAGGGATGTGAAAGCACATAGGATTTCATAGTCCTAGATTTCTTCTCTCTCTGTATAGCGCCATGTTCAGTCTCCTGTGTATTTCTGCTCAATAGACTAAATCACAAGCTTAGGTGTATATTGGCTCTGAGGAATGATCCGAGTCCAGAGGAAATAAGGGCATGGTTTAGGATAAAAGACAGTGATGAGGTATTGGGAAGAAGTATTACTGACATAGGAATTTGCAGAATGAGATGCTAGAAATATTTTGCGTGGGCGAAAAGAACAGATTAAGTAATTTTAGATTGTGTTCACAAGGAGCTCCTCAACTGTTGCTTTACTTGGAGGGATAGAGAAGAGGAAGCATGTCCTAGAGCACACTAGGAAACCCTCACCGAAGTTTTCATGTCATTTCAGGTTAATATTAAAGCCTCTGAAGAGGGTAGGAGCCTGCATTTCTTCATCTGAAACAGTCCTTCTGCCATGGAGCCCTTTTCCTTGGACTCTGCAGCATATATGAGAGGGTGCTGATATGTAGCAGCTGCTTACTTATTTTCTCACTCGCAAGCCTGTCTCTCTGCCTTCGCTCTGTCAATGCCTTGACTTGCATTCTTAGTGATTCCGTTTCGCTATCCATCCAGGCTGAGCTGTGTCAGTTCACACAGAGTCTGTTTTTAATTATCTCCCTTTTCTGACGGGATCTCAGCGTTAAGCCAAACTGAATAATTATTGTGCTTCTTTGGAGATATTTTTATCTTTTTTTTTTTCCTTCCCAAATGTTTGCTTTCACATTAAAAATTGATCAGAGTCTTGAGGTGGTTGCTTTGCTAGCAGTTTCTTAGATTCTTAAAGATTTATTACTGCATTTGTGTGAGAGGCAAAGTCTCTTCATTTTACATATAGCTATGAGAATGTGCTTTTCTATGAGAAAATGTTCACTTTTCACTTAACTCTTCCTGCTATGTTTTATATTGGTTTCTTCAGTTTGTCAGAAGAGGCTCTGTGAAGAGGGATATGGCAGTGATAGTAATGCTGTGGCTGGAATGGTGTCCAGATGTACAGTCAAGTTTGTAATTAGAGGCAGTATCTATTGTTATCTAAACTGATATAGCTGTGGAGGACAGGGGAACAAAGAAATGTTCATTCACTGAAGTCCTTCATTCTGGAACAGAAGGAGAAAACTGAACTGAGAATAATAGCCATTGTTCTCTGTTAATTATCTTGAACTGTTAGGGAATTATTTCTGACCGTTGCTTTGAGAGGCAAAAGTTAGAGAGCTGTTGTGGGATGGAGAGAGATGTAACTGTGGCCTGTTGAAATATGGAGGATCAGCTGGAGGAAGGGGATGGAGAACCTTGTGATGCATGCTAACACTAGTATCTCTACTGGATCTCTGAACTATTCCCAGTTAGGCACATCAGCTTCCAGCCTTAGAAGCAGTTGGAGTTTCACCTGAGACTTGCAAATGGCTTCAGTGAACGTTTTGCGACAAGATATTCTTCTATTGCTGATGTGGTGTCTGCTTCACATATTTGTGTGAATTCATTCTAGTGCATGGGGATTGCCTGTTTCACTCCCGAGGCTTCTGTGAGTGCATCTGGTGAGTGAAGTAGGATCTAAGTTTGATGCTTTTGTTCAGAGCAGGGTGGGAGCATTTATGGTGGTAGTTGAAGAAATGACTTGGCAAATCTTGCTTTAATTGTGGTTCTAGTTATCACATGTTGGTTTGTGGAAAGCAGTTTAACTCCGTTCTCAAAGCAAACCACAGGCAGCACAGTGTGCTCCCAACAGCTGAGGAAAGACCAGCTGGGGAACTGAAGCAGTCTGTGTAGATAAATGGGAGGTTGAAGGACATAGTAGGACAGATAGAGGTGGAGGAGAAGAAGTCATGGTCTTGCTCTTATCTACCCATACTTTCTTCTCACCACAACTGATTCTTTATTTCCTTCTGCTTCCCTAGGTGTCATTCCACTATCTTAGCTCTGCTCTACTTTCAAACAAACCCTGCTTTTCCCTGACATTTTTTTTTCTTCACTTCCTCCCTACTCTGTTAAATGCAACCCAATACCCTTTGTTCTAAATAACCTTCTCAGTTATGGACTCCCAGGCACATTATTCTCCTTTCGTAAGAGACTCATTTCCTACCTGCCCTCAAAACTGAATTAATTGTTCCCTTATCTCGTATACTTGTCTTAATTTCTTGCATGCACTTTATCCTTTCAATTCATTAGGCAGTGGCGAAACTCTTGAGAGCATGACTAGAATATGTGTAAAAACTTGGAAACAAAGGGGACAAGAAACAAGTACTGGTCTTGCTAGTTTCCTCCTTTTCCTTGGACACTTTGTCACTTTCAAAACAGGCAATGGGAATACAATCCCCAGCGCTTGGATTCCTTCTGAGTATGACCTTTCAAAGCACCAACCTTCCTATGGCCCTGCTTTTTAGTACCAGGAAAACTTTAAGCAAAGCTCGATTAGGTAAACAGTCAAATGCTCTATGAACATCACAAGCCTATTCCAAAAGAGAGTTCTTAGTACATAATCAAATATCTGCTAAATAAAAAGGTGGCAGTTAGGAGATTGTGGCTCTTTAAGAATAGCACAAGTTTCTGGGTTTTGTTTCTTTGTTTTTTAAAGCTCAGGGATATTGGTTAGTTCATACATAGTAGATAAGATTTGTGAATTACTAAATGAAGAAAAACGTGTAAAAAAATTACCTTAAGTCCTCTTGTTCTTGAAAGCATCTGGAACTTTTGATGGTAACTTTAATTGAGCTGAGATTTCTCACTATCTACGTCATTCCTTTCTTCCCATCCAGGTGAAGTCAAAAAGTGACTCCAGTTCCAAAAGGATTCACAGTGTTTTTAAGGAAGCAATAAGGATGCTGCAAGAAGAAGGGGTGGTTTTCCAGAAACCTAGTAGCTCTAAGGATTTATACCATGTAAGGAACTGAGCTATGGTTGCAAACAGGTTTGGGGGCATGACTTTCACAGTCAACAGAAGTGGTAGAAATGTTTCAGAAAGAGAAGGTGGACATCCAAGTGCTGTTTACTCAAAAGTCTTATCTGCAGCTTACCTCACTGTTGCTTTTTTACCTCAGTATCACCTGCTGAGTTGCACTTTTTGTAACTCGGCACCAGACTTAAGCACTGCTGCTGTTCCAAGGGCAGTCTGTGTTCACTGGGTTGCCAAACCGTGTGGATGCAGCTGAGCACATCAAAGCCTGGGATGGTTCTCTTTATCATGGTGGGCTGAAACCTGGTGTTCTGCAGAGTCTCAATCACCCTCTTTTGGGTTGACTTCCAGTATATAATCTTTTTTCACCTAACTTACAGAAGCTGCTAAAGGTGCTAAAAATAATAACTGATGATTTAATGTTCATTCTTAGTCTTGGAGATAGTAGATAATGCAGACTGTAGTTTTGACAGAATTGGCTTAGGATGTATCATGGCCTTGGATTGCTTTTCAACTGCAGTGCTATCAACTGTGAAATAGACTGCTCTAAATTGCTGTTTCTTCTATTTTCTCCAGGTGACTGACCATGATAAGGAGCTGCTTAAAGTGACCCTTGATGTGATTAAAGAGGACTGTCAAAAACCCAGGCGTAAGTAGCAGAGTGATCAGGGCTCTGATGAGCTGGTGCTGATATATTGATGACAATGCCTCTTCCTGCTGCTGGGTTAGATATGCTTCCTGTCCTCAGCCTTGAACTTGGAGCTAAGCTGCTGATGTAGCTAAGCCGTGTAGCTAAAAGCAACAGTGCAAGAGCAGCTTCCTTTGGGCATGGAGAGAGAAAGAGCAGGTGTGCCTAGCAGGAAGCAAACCTCTCGGATCTGAAATAAGCAGCCATTGTCTTAGATCTGTATCTTTTGAGAATACTTAGATTTTTGGGAGGAACCAAACGTAATGAAGGTAGGTTGGCACCTAGCAGCTGTTGCTTGGTACTCTGGATAAGTAGTAAATCTTGTTAGTTCAGTTTCTACAGGGGAGTTGACACAAAAGTGACCATACAGAAAGGTGAAATCCCTGCCTCCATTAAGTCAACATTAAACTTGCTTAAATCAGCAGATTTTATGCTCAGCTAGAGCTCAAGTTGTTCTTTGCGCATAGGGATTTCAGTTTAACAGAAATAATTCTTTTCAGATAATGCACCTCGTGTGTGTTATCCCTGTCCCTCAAGCCTGTTGTGTTTTATTGCCATAGTGATAGCTTGTGCTTGAACACCTGCTAATTACACAGGTACTTTGCTGCAGAGTTTCTTCCAACTCATTGGGCAGAATGTGTCAGCAGGGATCACTTGCTGCTGGAGTGCAGCTATTTGTAGGGTAGCATGTACTTTAGTGCAGAATAAATGACTGACTAGGACATAAGGCATAGAACCTTAAATTGCTCATATGCTAATGCTATCAAAACTATAGTAGTGCTTGTAGGACCTTGTACATGATGGTTATCCTGCAGTGAAAAAAAGGATAAATGAAGCAGCACTATTTTTGAGTTTTCAGCTTGCTGCCTTAAGCACTGGCACAATTACAGGCAAAGTTTGGAGCTAAAAGTTCTGTGTCTTTAGGGGATGGAGGGAGTAGATGTTACTGGGCATGCAGGTGAAGATGGGCTCCTTTGCCTGAGGCTATTTCAGTGCAACAAGTTACCATATCACATTGTTTTATTGTCTTTTATCCAATTAGCAAATACAAACATCTTCTCTGGAAGAGTCAAATAATTTCTCTGCCAATTTCATACACCAGCTGGTTCTCCTGGGAACATACGGGGGTTGGTTGGTTTGTTTGTTTGTTTTTGTTGTTGATGTGTGTTGCGTGGTGTTTGGGGTTTTTTTTTTGTTGGTTCTGGGTTTTTTTTCTTTGTGGTGTTTTGTTTTGTTTTTTATTTAAGTAACTGTGCCACTATAAAGACTAGAACCTTTATACAGGGCACTGACCCACTATCTGGTGTTCTAACTCCTCTCTTGTGTGTTATCACACTATTAAAGTACTCTGTGCTCCATGGGAGGTTCTTTCTCCCATTCAGGAAGAGTCAACAGCAGAGAGAAACTTGTAGATCAGTCACAGAAAAGACTTTGAAGAGTCCTGAGTCCTCAAAGCCATGTTTTCCATACTGAGCAGGTTAAAAATAGTAACTGCTTTACAGAGCCTCTTGTTCTCCTGGGAGCTTTCCACTTACTTAGTTTCCTGTTGTAAGGAGGACAATTTCCAGGTCAGTGTCTCTTTGCTAGTTTTCAGAAGGACCATTTCAATGTCCTGGTTACTGTGAGTAGATTTTTTGAGACGGAAAGCCAAAGAAGCTTCAATCAAAACCAGCAGGGTACTGCGGGTATTTTTACCGTCGCTGAATGATGCAAGAGCGCAGAGCTCAGCGTAACTTTCGGGCGCCCTCTGCGGGTGGGAGGGCAGCCTGAGCCACCCGCTTGGCTCCGAGGGAGAAAAAGAACGTGGTAATTAATAATTAATGTTAATCTTCCATAACAGGAAGATTGATTTACGATAAACCAAATCTTCTCTCCAATGAGGAGCTTCTCTGCCAATTTCTCAAGGCAGCACCACACCTCATTGCTTTAGTTGTGACACATTCTCGGGCCCAACCCAGCTGCCTGGAACTATTGTACAAAGAAAAAAATCCTCGACGTGCCTAGTCAGAGCTCCACAAACCCTGATCTGTAATATGCTCACGTAACAATCCTAGCCCTTGGCTCAAACTGTAATTCCAAACAGCCTGATCTTAAATGCCCTCGTGCAAGGCCACTGTGAGTCTATATAGAGGCTTAAGATAGGCAGAAAAGGCTTGCAGTACATTTTGACTCCAGACTGAACTGCAAAATGGTAGGCTTAGTCCAGTTTTGATTTGGTGTTGTTTGATTTTTTTTTTGACAAATTTGCTCTGGTTTTAGGCTTAGACGGCACTAATGGCAGAGAGGAAGAAAACGGAACCACCAGAAGTTAAATTCAGTACTTCAGAATGGACGCTGTGTGAGATGTCCACAATGAGCAAATCATTGTTGTTCTATAACTGGAATCTGATATTGGTAGTCAGGAAAGACAGTTAATCACAGCCTGGCTTACCTCAGCTAGTGGGCAAAAACTACAATCAAGTGTGTCAGTGAAAGACGGACAGCATTGCTGCAAGGAGTGTATTCCCTCAAGGCTGGGCCACACGAATGTTTTGGGGATACTTAATAATTGTCTGTACCTGCAGCTGCCTCAGAATGCAATTTTCTACCAGCATCTAGGAAGAAAGTATGTATTGTCCTGTTGGGTAATACCTGAGTCACTAATATAATTCATCAAGACTTAAGCTAAGTTACTGTAGATCAGGGATGGGCCCTTTGACTATCTCATGACAAATCCATGACTAATGCAAAATGCAGCTACCCACTTCGTTTGCACCAGCAGTCATTATGACCAGGTGGAGGTGTTGTTCTGCACCATCTTACCTGTGGTGGATGCATTTTTGGCTACCAGCCACAGAAGTGCTAGGTCACTGCCTTCTAAAGAAATATCTTTGCCTGGTTCACAGCTTAATAGGAATTAGGCTGAACTGTTTGTTTACCAGGCATTGCTTCCTATCTACCAGTGGCTTTTCTCACCAGCTTCAAAGGCAGTTCTGGAGCTCAGCTGATTCTAGAGTAGACATTAGCAAAAATAAAAACAGAGGCAGCAAACCCAAAATACAGGGACCTCCTCGGCCTATGGCAATTTCTCAGTACCCTTATCGAACCTGCCATATGTCATGTGGGCTGAAGAATAGAAAAGTTGTTTGTGCTGATGTGTCTCATTTATGCTGGTTTTCCATTGTTAGCGGCGGAAAGAAATCTATTGTGGAATTCAGCACCTGGGGAAACTGGAAGCCCACAGCACTGATGATGAGTGGGCTTACAGGGTCTGTTGGAGGAGATGTTGACTGGGACAGATGAGCTTCAAATGATGGCTCCGCCAGCACATAGTAGCTGTGGGCAGTACTGCAGCCAGTAAGGACCTTTTGTCTCTGGCTATTTTTGACATTTCTGTATGTTATTTTTTAGATTTCTGTTCTCTTCTACATTTTCAGGAATCTTTCTTAAAAGAAGATAAAATTAGATGCAGAAGTTCTGTGACTTTCCACTCCTGTAATTGAGTAGTCTCAAGTGCAGGGATGGGATTGCATTGCTAGGTCAATGAAAGTTGCACTGCAGCAGCTTTTCCACAAGATGCCAGCATTGGACAAGCAGTTACAGGTCCTGACCACGGATTGACCTAAACGTTTTTGAAGCTGGTATGAGCAAAAGGATTTTCATTTTGTTCCTTCTGTGTTTGCAGGAATTGGATGGCTTGCATAAGTGGACAGTGGAGGTACTCTTAGGTTATTAACCTCATCATCAGGTTGTGAGCCCTGAGTTTGCAACACTGATGATCTTTTTACCTTCACTACCAGTGTTAGAACCCTGACACTTCCCAGAAAAGTCAGTGGGAACAGTTGATAATTGGAGAACTGTAGGCACACAGTGGATCTCTTCCCTCTGAATACATGCATGTCTGCTTAAGTACCTAAAGCATTCTTCCTCTCTGACAGCTGTGGGTTTTCCCCCTGACTAATCTGGATTATAATAGTTAAAAAGAGGCAGTTAGACTGAAGTCTTTCCTTCTTGCCTGCCTGCATTTTTTTTTCCTGCAGATGCTGAAAAAGGCTGCCATTTCCTTCATGTCCTGACATGTGTTCGGCAGAGCTACAACCCATCTCTGGCTGAAGTGGTGATGCACCGTGTCTTGGAACTGCTGGAGAGTAACAGTGATGTTGTCAGCACTATGGAAGGATATTATGTGGTGTTTTAAAGATAGGATACATTCATTCTGATCCATTCAGAATAAAGGAGGGAAGAAGGAGAGATTGAGTGACCATGAAAAACTACTATCACCTGGTATGATCTAGATGAGGAGGGGAGAAAAGAGCATTGTGATTGTCCAAATGCTGTTTTTCTCCAGCTCCAGAGAAGTTGTTCAAATACTTGTTTTAGTCAAAACTGTATCAAACTGATTCCAGATATCCTAATACAGCCGGGGAGCTGAAAAAGAAACTGGGCTCATTCCTTGCAGTCAGATGTGGCAGAGCCATCCTCACTTACATCCCGAGAGCCTTAAAGAAAAGTCTTTGCTGAAGAGCACCGTTTACAGCACTGGTCACATCAGGACTCATTTTTCTGACTTGAAGACTGATGTTATGATCTTCCCGTGTGGTGGTATCTGTGGATCTTTGGTTTTATGTATGCCTTATGACAGTTAGAGAAAGGCCGTGCAAGCAAACAATCAAGAGATTTGCCTGTCCTTCCTGGCAGTGTGTCTGTAAATGTGTATTCCTGGATGTGCACAGCTTGCCTGCTCCTAAAGCAGTCCTCACCTCTCTCTGAAAAGTAATATTCAGGAGTGGGGTCCTGCATCCCTTCCCCATCCTGTAGCCTTGCCCACTGCTTGCGAAGCGTGTCTGGATTCCCCTGGCTACCATGTGTGCTACCGATGCACGTTATGGATTCAGTTCAGACTAGAATTCTCAAAATCAGCCACTGTTTTGCTGTCTATTTTTAAATTACTTCCTACATCACAAATGGTGAACCATAAATCAGATGCTTTGAAAGAGAAAATATGAAAGCCAGCAAGACACACTGTAATCCCTGTGCTCCCTGTTGCCTTCTGTGTCTTCTGTTCCTTGTTGCCTTTGGGGAAAAATACTATCCCTATCTGGTTGCAGAGGAACACAAGACACTGAAATAACAATGGCTTAAAGAAGGTTGCCATGCACGGTGTTTGATCTGGGATAATCACAACTCTGTTAAGTGCCACAGTTCAAAGCTCGAAGCTGTTCCATATTTATCCTTAGAATATTTATCCAATATTTATCCTGCAGGGGCTCATCTGTTTAATTAATGGTGTGGAGGTGAGAACTTTAACATGAAAAGAGTAGAAAGGATTGAATGTATCTTTCCTCTGCACCTTCCCTGTAACAGTTGAAATAGCAGACTCCCAGGAGGCAGAGGTAGTGGTACAGCCCTATAAGGATTGATGTAGCAGGGAAAATAAACCATAGATATGAGGAAAGTCAGTGAGTAGACCCATGTGTGCCAGGTCTTTCGTTTGTTTTTATATTATATGCCTCATTCCAAGCCCTGGCTGTAGTGAGACATAGGCTAAGAGAAAGGCATGACAAAATATTTGGCATTTGCATTCAGAGACCTGTGGAAAACTGTGGCCCTTAAGAGGTGGCACATTTGTCCATAGTGGAAAACTATGTAGGAAACATTCTTTTGCTGTGAATTCCTGACTTGCTGCAGGGCTAAACAGTTGGTTTTCCTTCAGGCTGCCCTACTTCTAGCATTACTGCTCTCTTTTGAGTTGGGTACCTCTTTGTATGGGCCTGAATAGGTGCTGAGAGGAAGTACCTGTGCGGGAGGAAATAGGATCAAGAAAGAATTATGGAAGTCTTCCCCACCACCTCCTCCACCATCTCTGGAAGTCCTGGAAGAAAGTCCAGATTCCAAGTGAAGTGTTACTGAGGGGAATTTCAACTTTAATTTTTGCCTATAAAAAGATCTGTTTGGCCACAGAGGAGATTTGCTTTTCACATTCCTGTTCTGACTACCGATCAGTTTGAGGTGATGCTTGAAAACAAAGGATGTCTATGGAAAATATAGTTTGAAATATTGATTCCAAACTTCATACTAACTTCAGGAGTTAACCATGGTTACTGCTTGATTATGGACAAATTGCCTACTTGGCATGAGTTTAGGGATATTTTAAAGGAAATTATGTGGTGTCTTGGACCATATGAAAGAGCGTGACATGTAATTTAAGAGACTGATTTGGCCATTTTCTTGAAATTTTCTGTATTAGCAGAAGCTGATTTTACTGGAAAAGGGTTAAAAGAACACGGGAACACGCTAGCTCAGTGGGAAAGGTGATCTCCTTCCTCTCTTTGATTAGAAGACAGACAGTCCCTGGTTCTCCTACAGGTGTCAGCCAAGTTGTATGGGCTGGATAAGTTTTGAGAGGAGCTCTGCTCAGCTAAATATTGGAGAAGAAGATAGTCTGGAAATTATATTGTTCTTTAGGGACTCTTTAAAATAAATTCATACCCAAATAGGATTGCCTCTTTGTCCTTTGGAGATTGTGTAATCATACATGCAGCTTCTAACGGGTTCTATTGCCTTCAACTTTGATGCCGCACCTCCCGTATTTTAGACGTGTTTCTGTGTGCTAAGTCTGCCTTAAACCCCTGGCCACCTATTTTCTCTGCATTGGAAGTTGATGCAGACACAAAGCATCTGCCCTCTGCATCCTGCTCCTGTTAAAATTTAAAAGCACCGACAAACTGCGAGGCCTCAGAGATGAGGTGGAGAGAACTTATCTCAGGAGAGACGGGTAAGTTACTCTGGAAAGGACCTATCCTTGGAAGTTTTTGAGTTGGCCCTTCTTGGCAATGCTGAACTCTTGTGATGGAGAGTGTGTTCTGTTAGAGATTGCTCTCCAAAAATAAAGAAAAAGGATTTTTCTCACTTGAGTTAACTCAGGGAAGTAATATGAATGAACACAAGGGAGCCTACAGTTCTCACAAGAGTGAATGGTTAAGGTAGAATTAATGGAAGAGAGTTACACAGATTCTAATTTTGAATAACCATGTGGAATAGTTGTGCCTTAAGCTTGCATGCTTTATTTTTTCCACAGTGGCTACCCAACACAGACTAGCACTCTGGATAAGTGCATTCCCTCTTTTGTACCTACAGGGAATACCACGTGCATACGCCTGCACAGCAGTACCCCGGCGAGCTGTGAGAGCACAGAGCTCACTGTAGGTTGATTTACCCATTTACTCAGTATCTCTACAGTATGCTTCTGTGACAGCAGTCTAGACATACCCATATTGGTATAAGTCACCTTTATGTAAGTCTAACTACACACACTAGGGCTTTTACTGCTAATAAACTGTCTCTCTGTTTAAAGATCATGTCCTTAACCAAGAGAGTCATATCATGCACACTGTTAAAATTCTTAGACCACACCTACAAAATATTGTGTGGAGCATTCAGGGAAAGCACACTTTCTCGTTTTGTTTAATTTGAAAACTTGTTAGGCAACACAATTATTACAGGTTTATTAAAGGAGTTTGAAGGTGGCCCTTTAATGTAAAAGTGACAAGTGAGAATTCATGTTCAAGGACTGCTTCATGGCCAGGTCTAGTTTCCATAGAAACAGTTATGGCAGTAAAAGGCAGGTGAGTGAAACGGAGTTTTTAAAAGCAGTCAGCATTTTTGTTACCTTAAAAAGCTATGTTTCCACAGAAATACAGCACCTGAGAACAAAAATTACCAAAGAATCTTCATATTCTAGCAAAATGTAAGGCGATTGCTTTTCTGGTGAGGTAGTAAAGGAACAACTCTACCTTCAGTCCCTGAAGCTGTCTGCGTAGGTGAGAGAAGAGATGAGGTTGCTTCATCCCTCTTTTGTGAATTGGAGATAATACAGCTCCCTGTGTTAGAGTATGAGTCTCAATTTTTCTTAATGTTAGTCATTAAAAGCTCGAGATCTGTCAGTGAGAGCTGTGACAGAAGAACTCTGTGGCTGTGTGGGAGAAGGTGAATGGATAGATGCTGAAGTGGAACTCGGTTCTAATCCAAGCCTCACTTTTGCTGATAGCTTTATTCTTTCTCTACCTCACTCTACATGTATGTTGCTTTGCCTGTCTCATCTTTTTGTGCTCCAGGTCCTATGAGACAATGATGGTCTTCCTGTTTTCATTTGTATCAAATATTTTTCTGGTTCTTGTTCTCAGAACTTTGGATTGTAAATTCGTACCCATGAAGGGATGATGTATTTTACACAAGCTACCTGGGAAATGAAGCTTTTCTTTTGAAGTCATAAATGAAAAAATTAAAGATTGGCTACATGAATGAAAGTTGTTGGTTTTGTGGATCTGTATAGACAGATTGTGTATTACAGCGATGAACACCATAAATGGAGAGAATTGCTAATTCATTATTCAGAATGAGAAATTGCATCAATGAGCAGCCAGTGAGGCATGGAGCCACATGGAGAATTAGGAGACAAAGTATGGAAAATCCACTTGTCAAAGAAACAGTTTGGTTTACTTTGGAAGTAAGATGATCCTGTGGGGGAAAGAAGTGCCTAGGAGATACGCATCTTTTTACTTACCCCTAAATGGGAAGGGAGCAAGTTCAGATCCCGTGAGTAACCTGAATTGTGAAACTTCCTGTCAGTGCGGCGCTATGATCTTTATTGCTGTCTTTCAGTGTAGTCTCCAGCCCTCCCACCCCAAACTTGCAGGCTAGCGCCCAAACAAAAGTTCAGCCACAAAGATAAAAGAATAGTTTTAATAACTGGTTACCATCCTCCAGGATCCCCAGCATTGCAGAAACATTTTTGTGGATGTTTGTTGGCAGCAGGGAAGTGCTGAGCCACTGATCTTGGGTTTCATTCCCAGCAATATGCCTTGTCAGACACAGAGGCTTTCCCCCTAATTTCTTTCATCTATTTCTGCTCTCTAAGTGTCATTTCTTGGGCCCTTCATTTCATTCACAGTCTCATGATTCATCTCTGCACCACTGATCCTGGTCAAACCTCTTTCCTCCCTACTTTGTTCCCTTTTTCCTTTCAAACTCAAATATCCTTGTCAGCATCTGGCAATTGAAACTTCTAGTATAACCCCTTTGCCTAACTGACCTGGCACTGTTCACAGCCTGTTCTCATTCCAGCAGGCTGTGCCTCGCTGCTTGTCCAGGCACCAGAGGAGATAGATATCATTTATCTGTGGCAACAAAGAGCTGTGA